TTCCAACGATTGCATCTTTCAGAGAGTGAGGTTTCGTTTTTCAAAGAGAAGCTTTTTCACGCGTGCATGCAGAACTGCCCCGTGTGAAGGCGTCTGGGTTGTGTGAGTTGTGTTGATAACCCTCGGACCACATCTACGGGTTCTTAGAGGATTGGTGCTGTTGTAGAGAGTTGAGCTGCGTGCCATGGGCTACACGACGTCGTGAAATATAACTTTGCTTGCCTGTGAATATGGGCGATCAGCGTGTGAGTTTCCCACAAAGAAACCCATTCTACCGTCGCACAGAACACCCTTTAATATACAATGATTGAGAGCAATCTGATCTGTTCCTGAGATAGCGCACTATCGCGGTAAGTCAGCGTTGAGTGGGGGAACCATGCATCAAATGTCATTGCATGCTGTCGAAGAAGGGAAGGCATATCTGTCGAACAAAAACAATCGATTACATGCTACCAACAGCTTTCGATGACGATTCGGCGATGACGGATTGCTCAAGTGCTGGTGATGCTGTTTAAGTGCTGTTCGGCAGCAAAATAACGAACGTGACAGACGTACCTCGGTGTCCGCCAATCAGCTGTCTCTTTTTTACTTGGGATCTACTTTGCGTCTTGTCTATTTTCGATTGATTTTGGCAATTACGCCCCTTTCTTCTGGGCACCACATTCGAACCAACCAGTTCACAGAATGATACACATCAACCGGGACCCTGGGAGCTACAACTGGCGCATACCACACGCCCACAGCAGGATAGGGCAGTGGAGTGTGCGTCATATGGTGGGGATAGACTTGCATAAGATTGCATCCAAGGAAACGTGACGGAAGAAGACAATACTCGGTTTCCAGGAGGCAGCAAATGGGTCTTTTGTCCTATGTAGCTGACAATGCAAGGGCTTTCAGCGAATGAACGAATGCTGCCTGACCTACATACATATCGGGAGTCAATCGATCGTGTACTGGGGAGCCATGATCAAACTGACTGCGACACAGGCAGACGGTGGGGGGGCATTGTCACCATGGAAGGGACGTTTGAGCCGGGCCCACTCCCTCGTCTGTACGAAATCCGGGGCATCAAACATTCCTGGATAACATGAAGGTTCCCGTTAATTGAAGATGTCACGGGTGTGCCACATGCCGGGCGCCGCCGTTGAAGATTCTTCCCCATTTACCACGGGTACTAGTAGGGGGCTCCAATAGATGGATTTGGTGATCCCCCAAGGATTACAATCCCCCAAGGATTACACGCAGCAGATGAAGAAGAGGAGCTCTGCACCAAGTCTATTCATCTTGTAGATGTTACAATCGTCCACCCCCATCTGCAAGTAGACGCAATGGCAAATCGATTCAAACGCCAGAATCCGCCCTCGAAGACCGAGCTGCAAGTATGGCAAACCACTATACTATGCGGGAACTTTTCAACCAGTCTTGTAGATTTGCATAATCTCCTTTTACTGCTGCTTGTCAACGTAGGTGGTCTTGGCCATGGCACCAATCGATCAATATTCGCCAACCATTTGGCCTACGAAGCATGTTGATGGGTGGGGGAATTTCGACGATGAAACAGCACCAACATAATTCGGAGACGGGTCACCTTCGAGCTGGCTCGTTGTCTGTCCGTATGAACTCACTCGTGATGTTGTTGTCAAACGTCATGGTCTACTGATCGACCAATTTCCACCGCGGCCAATAGGTTGGGATGTCAGCAGTATTACAGTAGTATGCAATTGCTTGTGAAAGCTACAGTACCTAAGTACAATGGCATTGGGGGCATTTGTTAAGGAGGACCCGATTCGGAGGGTATCCGTCGATTGACTTTTACCAGAATCGGTACACCTTCGTACAATTCTATTGGGAGTGACGGAGATGAAGGAAGGGGAAACGAAAGAATGGAGAATGAAGTCGATGGTGAATGAGGAAAACATGGCGTGACGAGGGCAAAGGGTTTGAGCCAGATGACCTTCCTCACAACAAACGCCGCAGGATTAGAGAAGGAGGACCTGCCAAAACGTAGTGAGAATAATGGCGACGAGGGTGGCGGTAGGCGGTGGCAAATGCAGAGAAGGCGATGCACCCAATCCCAAACGAACGCCCATCCAAAGCAGTAGCAACCATGGTAAACAGGTGCAGTTTTCTTTTGTTATTGCTACGGTATCTGTCTCTAATACGGAGAGTATCGTAGACCCCCCCAGTACGCTCGTCACGGGGTCCCAGATCGTGGCCTAACAAGGTGCATTTTGTTTTCCGCCGCACTGAGATTGGATGTAAATCATTTGAAAACTTTCCGTGCTCTACTGATGGTGTTTACCAACACCCACCATAACAAGAAACAAGCTAACATGATACAAACTGACTGCTATGCCCTACCTACTGTACCATTCTCATCTGCTGCCGTAAACATCACTGATACATTACCCCAAAGGATCAACTACGGTTTGTAAATTCAAAAAAACGGCGGGAAATACCTGCTGTCGGTGAAATTAAAAAATCTGTAGATACGTCGTTCCATCTTCGATGATTTTTACAATATTATTCCTAATATGTTTAATAAACCAGCAAGCTGTCAATAGACACTGCGCCGTGTCCCCTGTGAAGGTTGCATTTTACAATACACGACACAACGGAGGGATTCTCCCCGATATTTTGTCGTTGACCCAGTAGAGAACTACAGGGGATGTATTGTAAAATGTAAGTTACCTATACAGATGTTTTTGTACTTAGCACCAGCTAGCATCACTGGTATAAATCATCAGTGTATATACTTAAAAAGACTCGAAATAAGTCCAGCACCCACCCGGTTTCCCTCCACTCACTCAAAAGACTCCACCACATCCCGTTCGACTGTGTGTGGGTATATCTCGAATGGGTAGTCTTTCTGTGTGTGTTTTTATTATCCCTTAATTGACATCATTTCATTTGGTCAGGCGGTTACAGCGCTGTCGATGCCAATGAGACAGACACCCACTATGCCGTACAATGACGCCGCTTTGAAATAGCGTACCTTCGACGGTGGACACTGCTGTAGTTTCCGTTCATCAAAGATGAAACGGCGAAATGGACGAACCGGCACAGGTCCTGCCGCGTGTGGGCAGTGGTGCATGTAGTTCGTGTTGTGTAGTTCGTTTTTCACCTCTGCCATCACATCCCAGAGATGAACAGAGGGATTTATCTCGTCCCTTCGTCCTGTTCACAACTTGAACCTATAGGGCCCGGCCATGGAGGTCTTCATTCCCACGGCCGCATTTCTGAAGTCGAGCGGTGAGTGAGAACATTTTCTACCGACAGCTGACACAAGATACCACGCCCGCTGAACCGGTGTTCACAGCTCGATTTCTCCACAACAGAATATGTGGCAGCCCCGAAAATGGCGGCGTTGAAGTTGTCTCGGCGAGAGCTTCCCAAAGCGTATCGTTTCAGTTATGCGTCCTGTTCGTCGTGTAGTAACCGAGCGTTGAAAACCGGTCTCCGAGGTGTGGTATATTGTGTCGCCTTCCGTAAATGCGTCGAGTGTACTGCTGTAGGCCACATGCCCCACACCCCTTGCCACCCGAATGAGTATCTTTTCATGCACTACAACTCTGCCGCCTGGATATTGAGGGGGAATGTACACCTCTTAATCCCAGTTTTATGTACGCGTTGTGAGCCCACACTGTTAAGCATTTGTCCAGGGATATGTGTCTGTCAAACAGATGGACCAACAATAACCCACAACCAATAACTTACTGCATGTAGCCTACAGCACGGTCCGCACAAGATCCATCTTCCGACCAAGTTTGACCCCAAAGAAAAAAAATGTACTTCCATCGTACAAATCGTAACGTGGTAGAACCGTGTTCAGCGGTGTATGTACAAATCACACCGTCCCATCATGTGCAACGCATCATGATTTCATATTTTCTCGTCTGTTCAAGCAGGAGTGTGTAGATTTCGGATGTCGCTCGAATCTGCTTCGCAGAGTGGTCATTGTTGCTCCGGCGTGTCGCTCAACAACGACCATTTTCACCGAAACAGGATAGAGAGGGTGCTTCGGAAGTCCCAAAGTGAGCACAATGTGCGCCCTCTAGACCCCAGCTGTCCGGCCCCGTTGATAGCTCGGGCTTTCAGATTGTCTAACCTGTACGGCGTTAGCCCGACCACCAAACTTGCACGGAAGGGGGCCGGGGAGAGATCGAACCGGAACCATCAACTCAGGTGTGATTACACTCACCATATTTGTGTTACTCTACCTTCACCATGTACGGTGTTACCGGTGATTTTGGTTGGCGATATTGAACTCCGAGAATTCACGTCCATTGCAAGTGGGGAGAAGATTGGCGTCCCTTCATTGGTCAGCCGCGTAGCTCGGTTTGTTCGCCAATATTCCGAAGTATTGTGTCAGCGCGTCTGTTCATTGGCCAGACGGGAAGCGGCCATGTACGAAACATGGCGTTGAAGCCCAGATTGAAAACATTCGGCTGTATGCCCAACGGTACATAGTGTGCGAGCTGTATGAGTTTGCCGATGCCGACGCCACTCTTGTGAGTATGTGCTGAAGCACAGAGAATCAAACGGGCCCATGAGGTTTGTGTCGATCATACAATATTGTTTCAAGTCTTGTTGATTTTCACGTGAGAAAAACCTAGGGGTCAACAACGTTTGGAGCCAGCAGGTGGACAGGAAGACCGGAAGGGACGGAGGGGATACAAACATCACAAAACAGAGTCAGCTCCAATCCACATCCTCACAGCACGTACGCCCTTCAACACAGGAGGCAACAGACTGGCGGCAGCCCTGGCTCTTCCCGAGAAAGGGAGGAAGGAAGGCCGCAACAGACCAAAACAAAAAAAAGGCAGAGGAGGGTACTGCATAGTGCGCTCGACAAGGCGCGCGACGTCGCTCTGCGCCTAACTTGGGAGGATTGGAGGGGCGTGAAAGCTTTTGACGGCCCTTCCTTAAGTCCAGCCGACGTTAAGGACCTTTTCTGGCGAAATTTCCGCGTGAAGCTGTCAGCGGCGGAGGCCGAAGCCATGATCGTGAACTTCAGCAAGAAGGTAGCTTACAAAACCGTGGTGCCAATAGTGGTTCGGTGTGTTTCGGTTTTATTTTGGGTATGCTTTATGATCAGCTTTGGGGACGCAATATCATATATATGGGTGCACGTATCGCTATTCGCACGCCATCAACTATTGAAGGGAGCCTGACAACGAAGCAACCAAATGAAGCGGTTGCGCTCGTACGACCGTGACTTCTTTCAGGAGAATCCAATAGCAAACATTGCGGTCACCCCTGCGCTGAAACACGTGAGCTTCTTGGTATGATACTGTACGATGCAACGCCTCGAGATTGCTAGTACTGACAGCCGTACGTGCGTACGACAGAAACAGTAGCCAGATTGAGGAACTTCCAGGAGGCCTGCGGCGAAGAAAGCAATTCAGGCTGTCTTTTTGGAATGATGCCACTGGACGTGACTGCAACCTATGCGAACGAAGAACAACACATTCTACCAACCCAACTGCATCAGGTTTAGTCGTACGGCAGTGATCGTATCTGGTCGCACCACAAACAAAGGTGGACGTAGTAGCTGTAGGAAAGCTGTGGGATGATGGTGCCATCGATATGTGTGCGGGGAAGTGCATAATCCCTGCAACAAGCAAACGTAACATTGCGGCGAGAAATTCATTACCATGACCACTTCGTGCCAAAGGTGTGGTGCAGTAGTTCGGCATTTTCGACTAACGCCCCGTGGTGTCCTTTAGAATAAGGTATTCGTGCGCCCGTTAATTACCGCTTTGTGTGGATGGACATGAACGAAAATCTTAAAGAGGTGCCGGCAGGGAGGCTCCATCATCAGCATCGAACACGGGGAGTTTTCGCAAGCCTTTCTGCGACTCCGGCGGGATCTGCTCAAGAAAGAGCAGGGCAATGGCTGCGGCAAAACAGCGCACAAACCCAAGTCTCTGATCGACGGCATTCGAGGGCCTGAGTCGTCTAAAACGTCGAGAGACACCTCCTCCTTGCCGTTGTTGAGCCTGCGGCGAAGCCTCCCTGGGATGACAAGAGTCGGTGAGAAGGTCCTAAGCAGTGTTTGGCAAAGTTGTATGCGTATGCAGAAATATCCGCACACTACGCGTAGACTATGTCATCTGTAGCTCTCCTTCTTCCTGCGACATTTTCCTCTTCGTGCCGAAGCCACCCCTTAACTTGTCTCATGCTGGGCATGTACCAGGCGATATACCACACGATTCAATCTTGAACGTGACTCCTCGCCATTCCCTTGTCAGTGTGGCCATGGACTCTTCTCCCTCAGTGGCTGAATTTGCGATGATCAGGCGACCTAAGCAGGCACCTACACTTGCGCACAACCTGTGAAATAGACGAGACCGAACGTAGCGTACTGACGTTGCTTTTCGAGCCCAACGCGAAATACCCACTGCAATGGTATGTAGTAAGCAAGCATTATTGGCGGTGACAATAAACCACCAAAATTGCGTGAATTTTTCTGCAGAAGACGGCAACTTGCATCGAGCTGTAGACGCGGACACCATCAACCGAGCTCTGGCGAAGGTGGATCGAGCGGCCTGGTCGTACGACCCAAGAAGGTGCAGTGAGTCCGGCCTTAAACGTACGCTTTTCATTAAGCAAGGATGGACCATCGACTTGACACGATGTAAGATCTGGTGCTCCTAGCGATCGTTCACCCCTCGAAGTCTCCACGGAGCCCTGAGAGCAACTGGGAGTATGTTCTTTGCAGAAGCAAGTTGCGACAACAGCTGCATCGCTTATTATCATCGCAAAATATGTTGGTGCACACCATGTCACAGGATTGAGAACCTGCGTCAGGCCGACCTCAGCAGAGTTAGTACCCCACGAGCGTTCGGAGGTGTCCTCCTTGCGCGGTTCGATGTTCGGGTTGACCCGGTGGAGCAAAGCGAGCTGGTGACACTCCTCCAAGACGAGGTTTGTACGAAGGACAATTCAGGGCCCTTGAGTCAGGAAGGAGGGTCTTTGCGGGAGGCGAAGACCAAATACTGGTTGGTGAAATATTGGAACAAAGGAGGAGTACCTGGTAGCAGTTATGCATTCGATAGTAGGCACCACGAAAACAGGTGACAACGTCGGAAATGGCCCCTTTCGCAATAGATGGCGGCTTTCTGTTTCATGACGAATGCAATGGCCAAATGAGTAAACTATGTGCTTGTCCCTGCAACTTTGCCTGCTAAATAAACAGAACGGTGCGGTTGACGTCGAGCGCTTTCGGACGTATTTTTTGGGTCTTATCGAAGATCACGCCGAAGAAGTCGTGAACGAGGGTGCTCCCTCCCTACCTCCCCTGTTTGCATGAGGACCACCGTTGAACGCAGCAGAGACGAAGCGTCAGGGTAGGGGCAGGGGCAGGGGCAGGGGAAGCGGCGACACGCGCATCTGCACAACATGGGACGCCCGGCACTTCGAGGAGCCCTGATCATATCGGAAGAATCGATACAAACGTATCTCGATCCCTCTTTTCCGCAATTTCGTAGGTCGAGTCGAAGAGTGAAACAACCATCGTACCAGTTGCGACACCACCACGCCGATACTGATGAGGACGCCGCGTGCGTAATCAGTGTGAAAGAGCAGACCGAGACGACACAGATTCGGGGCACACACCTTACCTTGCCGCCACGATCGTTGGTTACGGGAATCACTACATCTGCTTCGTGGGCACCACCGTATGATTACTCTTCTACGGGTCAACTTGTCCACCACAAACAACCCCGAAACAACCACAACACACCGCTACTCTTGTGAACAACAACAACAACACATGCACACTGGTGATGATACGTCCACATTTTGTACCCAGAACCTTCGCACGCTGAAGTGCCATGGGTTCTTCGAACGCTACAGCTAGAACCAAGCTTATCGGGCGACACTTGCGCAGCTCAGCGCTCCATTGCCTCATCTCTGCTCGAGGTTGCCAATCTCCCTCCACTCCCAAGGGACGACGTCGCCGATGAGGCGGCCGTCCGCCTCTCCGGCCCCACGCCGCAAAGCAGTAGGCCACGATCGAAAACTCTCCACGAAAATCGACGCGAAATACACAACAGCAGCAGCGAGAGTAATCCGGGGCAAGTGCGTAGCCCCATTTTCCTCATTCGTTCTGAGCCAAACTCTTAGGAAATATCTCTTTCGTGGATCAATGTAGGAGTAAGCAAAATAACCATGGATAGCAAGAAGGAAGCATGGCCGTGACCTTCCAGTGCACTTGGCGTTCATCTACGAGACCAAATCCCACATCACACTGTGCCCCCCACCCTCCCAAACATTCCACCTGGTGCTCACCCGAACTGGACCAAAAACACAGGTGGTACTGCATATGTGCAAGCCTAAATACATTCAACGTGGGATGATGACACCATTTGAAAACAAAAATAAGACGAAAGCCGAGAAGGTCCCCTCAAGCAACGGATTCCGTTCCATGGGCTGGTTTTGCGCACCGGCCACATCCATACATATCCATACCGCCCGAGACTTCTCGTTCACTGACGTTCTTCTACATCCCAAGGAACAGAACGAACGGTCTCCAGCATCATCCGCCGCATCATCACCACCATCGTCATCATCACGAGCAGCAGCAGAAGCTAACGAACCCGAAGTCTTCTGTTGCTGTTCTGTTCGTTGTTAACTACACGGGCCACTCTGCGTAACGTACACCAGCAGGAGCAACACCCTCGCCGCCACCATCAGAAGTCCGGTGGGACCACGCCCTTCCCGACGCCGCCGCTGCCGCCGCCGCTGCCGCCGACGTCCGGAAACCCTTCGAACTGAAACGCCTCCCTCGTCGAACTTCCCCCCATCGCACGACGCTTCGTTTGCGGCGCCTGCTGAGCCCCCCCGTTCCCATCTTCCCCCGCAGCTATTCTTTCGATGCCCGGCGCCGTGCTGGCGCCTCCTCGCGACGACATCGACCCGGGATACTCGCGTGGACCGAGGTGGACGAATGCGGCACCCGCTAGCCAGTCTGCCAGCCGGAAAAGACACCAGACAACATCAACCACGAGTATATCCACGATAGCTTAGTTTGAAGCAACCACGTAATAGCGATAGGTTGTGTAAAAAAGGAAAATTTGGCCTTGTTTGCGCCGAACGACCGCTCGTCGATGGAGCAGCGTTCACCTCCCTGCCTGCTGTGGGGAGGGCTTACGTATCATGACGAGCCAGCCCACCACGTTTTTTCGCCAGTCGCACACGTACACAAGGGGCTAGCGTCCCGCGGAAGGCACCGGCTTTAGTTGTACCAGTACGGGTGTAGAGACCTTTTCCTTTCATCATGTTAAATCAGCGCTCAAACACAACAGATTCTTTGCCAGTAGGAGGTCCTATCCGTGGTCAGTCACACATAAGGGGTATTCCTCTCCCGAAGGCCCCCTACCCACGCCTCCCGCGATGCTGCCTTCAACTTTCGACGCGAGAAAAGTGCAGCCCTCTCTTCCTTAGTGCAGCCCTCTCTTCCCTCAATGCGAAGACAACAACAACAACAACAACAGCAGCAGCAGCAGCAGCAGCACTTACACAGGGCCAGCGTCCCGAAGGACAGCGCGGCGGAGATGACGCCGACGCTCTGGATGGTGAGCAGGGCGCGGGATCGCCTCTTGTCCTCTGGCGACTCTTTCGGTATCGTGAACCACTCCCTCTCTCTCGCCCCCCTTTTGGCCCGCGGTGGCGGGTGGCAACAATACCGACGGAATTTGGCGCATTTTCGTGTTTCACGTTTCGAAACAGGTGGCGGGCGGGCGGGCGGGGCGGCAAGGGAGGGAGAGAGGTTGGCATTGGTTGAGTGAGGTGGTTGGCTGGGTCAACCAAAACGTATCTCACATGCCGAGCGTGTACTCTCTGGCGCTGTTTGAAGGCACGTGTTTGACTTCTCCGCCGGCATCATCTCACAAGAGCTTTTATTTCTAGTTCTACCATTCCCCTCGCGGTGCTCTTGTCCCTGGATTTTACGCGAGGAGGGTTCAGTGAAGTCCCTTCCCTCTGTTGTCTCATTGCATACTTGCGGACTATTGTACCCTTCAAGTTGTTGTGACTCCTCCGCAGTAGGTTAACCCCTTTGGGTCTAGGCTGGACTGTCAGTTTTTTTTTTTGCGCCAAAAAAAAATGAGAGCGAGAGCGAGCGGGAGAGAAGTGCAGAGAAAGACACGAGTGTACTTCTGCACACGCAACAGCTATCTCCACCTGTAGGCCATGAGGGAAGCCGGCGACAGGGTGGTGGCCACAGACAGGGTCGTAGAAGGGTTGATGGGTGGTCGCGCTGCGGTCAGTAGGGCAGGTTAGCTGTGTAGACTTTGAAATGATCAGTCGTCTAGCTGCCTCAACTATTCTATTTTCGGTATATTGTAAATGATTAGTCCAGAGAGGGCAAAATGATCAGTGAAGACCCATAGCTGGCGTTTGTACTTCTGCACTTCTCTGTTCTCTGTCCCCCCCCGAAATGTGCCCTGCCAGCTCTCTAGAGCTCCTGTATTTTTCGAACAAGCACATCCACCCGCACACACCCGTACCTCGTGGTTTCCTAGGTTCGGGCGAGGGTGGTATGTGTGGCGCTACGAGTGTGGATGTGTTGCTGATATGTTTTACTCGTCTACAGCAGTAGTAGTAGTGTTGTTGTAGCATTCGTTGTAGCTGCTGACACAATGACTGCTGGATCTTGGGAACGATGTTCAAAATGTTGGGAACCACGATATCCTCGATATCTGGGCTCCGGCAGGGCTTGCAATACCCCTCCCTTTTGCTGCCCTCTGCTCTTTGCAGCAGTGGCTTCCTACGTTCGGGCGAATGTATGTGCGGTGCTGCGAAAGAACACAGATGTATGTATGTATGTATGCACACACGCGTTCATGTACATACGTTGACAGATTCATGATTTGGCATATTGATTGGCCCCATTCCCGAGACCTTGATATTACCCGCTGTCACTGACGTCTCTTCATTGGTCAGCTGGTTAGCGCGGGTGCTAATAATCTGGACACACCTACCTATGGACTTGCCAATACACGGCGCGAAGGGCTGCAGGGCGGCAACTCCACGACTTGCCACTACACCAGCATTTGCAAATGATCAATCAATGATCAGTTAGAACGCCTGAAGAGTTACCATTACCCCAGAAAACGTGCTGCTGCTCCAGACTACATGTATGCATAAAAGTAGAAACGCACCGGAAATAATTCTACTACTGCTGTAGCGGCTGCTCGATCTACGGTAGGCGTTGACTCGAATATCCGCCGGCCAACGTTAGGTGGTAGACTACACGTATATACGGTATACTTCAGAACATAGACACACACAGCAGTCGCAAGCAAGCATGGCATCTGCATATAGGAGGGGGGTTGAGCTGGTGGTGATTGCAGCAGGGCGATGGCGAAGAAACTTTGCGGCGGACGGAAATGGCGGGGCGCCGATACCGGAGGAGGGAGTGTCCCGTTCTCTGCATGCACCAGTTTGGTGACTCTGCTGTCACGAAGACGCTGCGGAAGGGGTCTCCGGGCAACGTCAATCAACCCCCAACGGCACCACTTTTAGTTTGGAATGTACTCGGAGATTTCTCCGGCGTTCACCACTGCTGTGTGTGTTTGACGAGGGCATCAGGCCGCAGTGTCAGGGGACGATGTGAAGCAGTTGTGTAGTTATCCCCCTACTCAACAGGAAGCAGCTATCCCTCTCACTTGTTGTTTGCTGCGACAGCCGGCTCTTGAACTTGTTCCTGCGGAGCCGGCGCACTCGTCCCCACTTGCTTCTCCAGCTCCTCCAGCCGCTTCCGAAGCGAGGCGTACATCTCGGCGTCTCCCTCAGAGGTGTCATCCGATGGGTCCATGTTGGACGACCCCCCCCCGCCCTCTCCCGCGTACCTCCTAGTCAGGCGTCGGCGCTCGCTGCTGATGCGGCGTGTGCCGTATGATGCCCGCTGCTGGTTGCTGCCGCTGCTGCTTTTTTTCTGACATGATGCCGCTGATGGAATGACGCTGCGATACGCAGTCGGACCCACTCTGAACGATCCTACAAAGGGCAGGGCTGCGGCGCAGAGGCCGAAAGCGCAACGCATCGTCGAGGGGTTCAGAGGACGAACGCTGTCACACCACCGCAGAAGTAAGGATGCGTGTGTCTGCTGTGTTGTGCTCGCCGAAAATCCGGGGTTTCCAAAACATGATCCCGCATTCTAGGGGAGCGGGGACGAAAAAAAGTATAAACCTCGGTGGTGGTCAGGTGTCAGCGGGTGTGTGTTCGCCACTCCGAGGAGTGCTGATTTACCAAGCTTCTACCATACGGGGACCGAGCCGTATGCATCCTGTGGCCATTTTCCAGGGGGTCTATTCCAGGGGGACCGAGTCGTGTGCATCTGGTCACAAATCCGTCACGAAAGCACACCCGAAGACCGACTGCTCTTGGGGAAACACACGAAACGTATCCATGTATGAGCGAGGACCAGGCGTAGGTAGCCCGGAGTACAATATATCGTTTTGGGGGGTGGACTACATACTGCTGTACTGCTGCTGCTGTAGACGTGAGAGAGAGAATACAAATCAAATTTCAGCAAGCCATTGGTGAGGGTATCATATCAGTGCTTCGAAGCAGCTGCCGTTGCCGCATGTGCACCCGACGACGAGACTCTCTGTGACAGATAAATAGCACATGGCAGAAACATCTCAGCCAGACGGCCTTGACTGACTTGTCTACTAGTAACCCTGACGACAGCAGTCTGGACATCATCATCACTACTATTCAATATGCCATCGAACGGTGGCACACCGATACCCGCACTGACACGTATAGTGTCCTTAGGGGAGTAGTTATTTCCTGGATCCGACTCCGGTTGGATGCTCACCCGTCGCAATGCCAGCGAGCGGGTCTGTGAGGCCAGGCGATCTTCTCTCATGATCACGTTGCCGTCCATTCTCTTGCTACTGAAAAACAGGTTTGACACGGGGTGGGCACTGCAGAACAAATCTTGCAACTTGTCCGTCCATTCCTTATACAAGGAAGGCAGAACGAATGACGTCGCTGCAGACAAGGAGTGCATACAGAACGAACAGTGAACAAAACGTCCTACAGGTTAGAGTATTTATACCCTACGATGGTGTCGACAAATAAATGTGGAGTAATGAAACTAAAAAAACGCAACGGTAGCCCATGAGAGAGAGACTTGGACGCTGCACGTGACATAACGAGGCCATGTCACATGCCAAGGTTAACATGAAGTCTTCTCATTCCAATCTACTGCATGCATTCTTTCCGCATGAGGCGATTTATCCGCTCCATTCATCCCGCACGGGGGAGCGGGTGCTAGGTTTGTTCAACGCACATCTTAAAGCTGGTCACCAAGGTTGTCGAATCTCAAACCTGTTGCGTATTAAATCATTGATTTTTCTGTGCGAAAAACTCCGTGTAGACCAGCTTGATCACGTTGGTCACTCCTGTTGTATCCTCATCTCGCCCGGCCTGTAAGCACCCTTAGCCTGTGGCTGTGTCTGATAGCTTTATGTAGCCTTTTAACTACCCTCGGGCCACCTGTGTTCTGAAGTCGTTCATTCTACTATTTCTCGTTCAGGAATGAGATCATGCGATCGATTTTTTACGTATGTATGCATATCAGGCACACAACTTAGTTTGTTTAGGGTCGCTTTATACAGCGCTGTATTTTCCAAATTTAACAAGGCCCGAAAATATTGGAATGGTACAATATAGTTTCCAAATTTTTTGCAAGTTTCCATTTGTCATGCCTTCGAACTCGATCCGCAAAGTTCCCTAAATTTGGAAGCATTCCTAAAATCTGGAAAAGCAGCGCTGTATAAAACGGCCCTTACGCCAAGGATGGCCGAGGGCCAATAAAGGAGTTTCATGCTGACGTTCATGTCGTGGAGACGCCCTGTAGCTGCCGCTCGTTGCTCGCGCCGTCATAAACAGTACAGACAGACGAATAGACTACACTGTAAGTGAAATCCATGATTGCCTCGACTTTGTCATATATCCCCGAAGTAGCTTCCCTTTTTGGCGTGAGTCCCGAGCGCCTTCGTCTGTTTCACCTGAGATAGAATACCATGACTCGCACACGCTTTCGAATCTTCCCGGCATCAAAGGAGAGAGAGTGTAAGGCGGCTTACAAGAATTTGAACAGGAGCGAAATTGAGTGCAACCTTTTAGAAACCGATGGGATTGGCGGGTCTTTCAACTGGGGATGTGTGCGTCGCAACAAAAGAGCTTGGCAAATACCCAGTCCGGAACTCTTTCCACTCTGGACAGGTGGTGCACCAGAGAGTTTCACAAGCGCTTTGCTGTATGGCCCAAAGCGTTGTGGGCCCCCCTGTCCAGTGTTTCCGCTGCTCGTTGTTGCTGTCGCGAAATACCTCTCGCCGTTTTCCCAGCCATCCGTTCCAGAAATGGCTCAACACGTCACAGAAGGCGAAACGAGTCTCCCTGAAGCAATCGCAGCTTCCTCTTCCATTCTCACTTTTCGAGATCAGCCATCTACTACACTTCATATCTATGGGATCATGTGCATTGAGGGATAAGGCGCCCTTGAGAGAGAAGCTGAAGAGGGCAAACCCCTACAACCGTTGCCACACGTGGATATGGACGAAGCGGGGGATAGCTTCCACGATCTAGGCATAACACGTAGACTGCACCACCAGGCAGCTGCAGCACCAAGCGTGATCATGCCATGCCTCATGACCATCTGTACGATACCGCATTTCAGGGCTCCGCAAATCTCACAAAGCCCTGCTTTCGACGGTGGCGTTGGACAACGAACGTGTTGAAGGTGGATTCACCCCCCTTCAAGTTGCAGCCCAAGAGGGCCACGGCACCATCGCCAGATTTCTGTTGCGGCACGACGCTGACGTAACTGCGTCATCGGAGAACGGTTGCTACTCTTTCAATATGTCAGCAAAAAATGGACACGTTGTCGTGACCAAGTTGCTGACCAATGCTAGTCCAACCTGGGCGTCGCCACCGACGATTGTGTCAGGAGCGTTCACCTCGCCGCCGTTGGAAGGCACTCGAACATCTTATCGATACCTGGGAAGGCTGGTGCGAATCCCGATAGCAACACGTGTGCCGGAAGCACCCCGCTGGGTGACGCGGCATAACATGGCCACCACGACATGGTCTGGAAGCTCCTTCTCTTGGGGGTGCCGGTTGCCTTCCCCATGGTCCAGCCGGATGGGTCAAACTACATTGCTTTGGATGCGGCACCCCAAGAACTCGGAGGTAAAATAGTCCACGAGCTGATCCAGTACCGTGGAATCAAGGCGTGTGCAGGTGCAACCGGTGGGGCAATTTTGTAGCTCTCAACTTGGCCGCGAAGCATCAGCAAGATCGATGATTCGAAGGTGTTGTTGCCCCCCGGGTGCCATTGACACGGGAATCTCTCTGTTGCGGCCACCGACAGCGGCCGCGAGCTATCCGTCACGCTTTGCCAGTGGGCTACCCCTGGAGACGACTATCCTCCCCTGCATTGCCCCAACTGGAGAGTGGGGGAATGGAAAAATGGTCGCAAAGCTAGTGGGGACAGGGCTGGGATTGGACTGGTCAAGCGTGCAACCAGAGCTCACCGTGCCCTCTAACAACCGTATTCAGGTGATCTAGATCACCGAGAGGTGCGTAGTTACGTAAACAGATAGATCACGGTCCACTGTGCCGGCGACTCTCGTGCAATGACTTGCACAAACCTCTAGATGCCGGTTCGCTCTTTCACCATCCCCCAGCCGCTATTATTACAAGTAGGACAAATTCTGCTATTAATGTACCTAGGACAATGAATGGAACATGCCAAATAAAGCTTAACTCCGCACCACAGGCTCCCAAGAACGCGTCGACGCCCCAAACGAAGCCCCGAACGAAGCCCCCAAAATAAAGGCTCATCATGAGCGATGATGTCAACAACAACAGCGATGGGGGGTTCCGTGCCGTCATCGCCGGCGAAGGAGGGGCTTGTCCGCTCCTCCGTGTTTCCTAGAGATTGCCCCGTTAGCGACGGAATACTGTTTGGTGTGGTAGTGGAGCTCGTTTGTGTGTCGGCACGTCGTGTCGTTGGTTCCGTCAGAATCTTCGGCCAACCCGTTCCCGTTGTTGCGGCCGCCTCTTTGGTTGTCGCAGTTTTTGAGCCTCGTGACGTGTCCTGTTATGAATACAAGGATGAGCAGACGATGGAGCAATGGCGAAGGGGAATCACTTGTACTCGTGCTTGTCGGAAGTACTCGGTGAATGTGTTCATCGAACTTTGTCCCAGCACCCCCGCTCTGCACGTGCTATGCCAAATATTCACATTGCTGATACTCCGAGCAAAGATAGCAAGACCAAGCTGGCCTCCTCGGCGGCTGAAGCTCTTTGGCAATCTCGTAGCGCTCAGTTAGCACCTCCTTGAGGACGTCCAGGAGTTTACACGTCGTGCTTCACGAAAGAGTGACAAACATTTCTACAAGGTAGAGACCACACGCCTACATAATTTGAACACCGCCGCGACTGCCCAAACAACCAGGCCACAGATTGCAAGGAGAGCCGATAGTGCCGAAAAACCAAGGATGCAGTAGATGCTGTTCACCGGCAAATTGGATTTGATTTCGGGATCGCCAGTGGAGGGGGAGCTGGTCGGCTCCTCCGTGCTCCCTAGAGATTGATTTGTTTCGCGAAGATCCATCATCGGGTATGGTGGTGGAGCCACTCGTTTGTGTGCCGGCAGACCGAGTCGCTGGTTTATCCGGAACTTGAGGGCGATCAATTCCCTTGTTGGCAGGATCCTTTCCGATTGTCGCAGCGTTTTCCCCTGGTGGTACTTCCTGCTGTGGATACGAGGCGGGTAGACGTCGGAGCAAAGACCAAGATGGGGAACAACGCGGAAATCACACGTTTTAGTTCTTGTTGGGAGTATCCGGTGAACGTGACCATCGACTCTTGTCTCAGCACCCCCCCTTCTCCACGGTCAACAAGTGAAAAAACCGTGATATTCTGAGCAAAGATGGCGATACCGACCTGGGCCTCCTCGGAGGTTTCCGTCCAAATCTTGCGGTCGTCCATCAGCACCTCCATGAGGACGTACAGAGGTTCCTCCCCGGGGTCTATCGCCGTCAAGATGCGGTCCGATCCTTCGAGCTGTCAAGATTTCCCCCGGGAAAAGGTTTCAAAGCCGTTTACAGCTGTTTAGAGAGTGTATCGGGAAGGAAGCTGGTGAATGAACCCACTTTACGCGCTGATGAGCGTCACGCACTACGAGACAGGAAGACTCACACATCGTTGGTTTGCAACGTAATCTTCTCGTCAAATTAATAACTGGTGTGCACATGCACGGAAAGGCACTTTTAGCAGGACGTCACGTCACCTGCTGCATCTTGAGAATGACTTCGCTCCAATCAGCCAGGCCCGTGGAAGGCTCGTTTCCGTTCACACAGTATCCCTGAGAAACCGGTATCGGTGTGATTACAACGGCATCGTTGGTCTTCAGGCCTCCGTGTTTCCAACCGATTTCAAAGTCGCGATGGAGGAGCCAAATGCCACTGCAACCATTTGTATCATGCCACATATGCACTGAATGATCTAACGAGAAGCAGTAATCAGTCTAGGGTGCGCTCAAGGCATGCAAACTGGCGGATCTCTAGCACCTTATGTACCTGAGTGTGTGCGAGAATCACCGCCACTATGGCGCAAATCACCGCCAGAACCACAAAGATAATCGACGGCTTGCCGGAGGCAATGGGATGGCGATACTCCCGAATTTTCTCTCCAATCACTATCACGACAGGCTTCGCCTGTAAGAGGTGAGGGGGCAGGGAACGAGTGGGGAAGATCGTTACAGCAACACCGACACTTCTGATTGAGACGCAACCAATGTCGAGTACGTTGATGGTGGGACACCGTCGAAACGTCGACTCCCCTGGTTCACACGCTGCACTAACCGTTTTCGACAGGTCACACCGAGAAATTATTTCAAACAGATGACACCCACGGGCTCTGATACAATACTACCGACGACAAATTGGTGGTGTTCATATTTCCCAAATGAATTGATCGATATACAAAATTGTCTCCCCGAGGGTTTCGAGAAGACACGAAAATCCGAGGAAGTCGGTGAGTTGCCGCATCTTGTTCGAACCTCTTCCTTTTTGAAGGCTTCATACCGCTTCCTCATCTCGTCCTTCATGTCCTGGAACCCCACCTCCAGAAGGAAACACTGAAGGTAAGTATTGTCACTGTGCTCCGGTCTCATGACATGACAGTCACCCCACGGATATCTGTCAGACCAGGGTCATTGGTGCGACCTGAAATGAGATGAGCCGTTAGACTTTGGTGAGTCACGGGGACTTTGTTTGGAGGTGATAGGTCCCAGCCCATGACCCACAAACGCAATACGTTCGAAATCGATGCACTATGTGAATTAGACGCCAAAAGTCAGTTTTTGGTTGCACAGGCCAGACACGCACGGGCTCGACCACAGCAATACAACCTGCGTACTGGATCGGGAGCATGAGCGTTTCCGTTGGGGTCGTCCACCTGGCTCGAGATCACCGCGTACGGCGGTGGCCGCCTCTCGCCCAGCCAGATGGGCTCATCGGCGATGTTCAGGGCTCCCAGGCACTTTCCCCATGCCCGCTCTGCCCGACATTATCGTTGAGCAGCGGGAACAGGGATGAACGCCACTCTGCTGCCAATCTGCCATTCAAGTGACACATCTTGAAAAACGGGAAACCTACAAAAGGTGGAAGTAACTAACCCCTGGCCTCACAAGGGTGCTGGAGAGCTGGCTCGTGGTGTCACCACGGAGCCACCATTGCGTCCCGTCCGAAACATCACCCACCCGAAAAATTGAAGAACTCGACTCCGTTAGCCTGGGCGGCCGAGTCAACGATGGCCTTTTTGAAGCCAATCATCTCGTCCACCGTCATGCTGTCGGACTTCCCTACCACGGGAATCACAGCAACAACCTGCGCAAAACGGGGATGAGCAAAAGGCGGGGAGGAGCTGAACGAACTTACTGCGTCTCTCGCTCGGTTACAAAACCCGACCGTGGAGAATGCCCAGGACTTTCCCAACAAATGTCCCGAAGCACTGGTGGCCTTCAGGCAGGATCAAAACCGGCTATCACGCGACGGCAGCACATTGTGTACAACCCAGACTCGTGACGAGCTGTCCTGCCTTTCGATCTAACTTCTGTGTTGGCGGTGATTCGGTTGTCATATCTCACAAGAATCGAACTGCCAATCTCCTGTCCCGCACCTTGGAAAGCTGCTTCATGTATTCGATGTCGATGGGCTTACACCGATGGGCTGCGATAAAGTATATGCTGTAGGTCCCGCAGAACACGATCGGGGCACATCTTGAGTCAGAAACGGTCGTGCAAACGCGTGATCCAGGGGCACGCGACCGATCGGTTGCAGCTCAGGCGAAAACATCACTAATGAGGGTGTTGTTTGAACATCTAGTATACAGTGAATCTGCTGAACACCATGTCATCAATCATTTTCATCACCTCCTTCAACCATTTTGCATGAGAAGCAAATTTTAGCATCGTTTCGCACGCCGAGCAGAGCAGTTGGTGGAGGGGCCGACTGTGCATTGAATCTCAACTCACCAAACGTCCGTCCTGCCGTCCTCTGACGGAGCGTCGTTGCCCCTCAAAACCTCGGTCAGGTATTATTTCCTGCTTCCGCTGGTGATGAAATCAACTACTGGTTGGAAGCTTTTGCGGACGTTCACATGGTCGCCATATCCGGGGGTGTCCTGGCAAGATGTACAGTCGTTTTCAGACGTTTTAGTTGCGGGGAGGCCATCAAGACGGCGCACTGCGTTCCATAAAATAAGTGGCCGTCGGTAGTGGGTATCGTCGTGTCGAGACAGAAGCATGCAGGCTACGGCACAATCGATGACACCCACACAGACGTACAGTAGGACATCGTTTTACATTAGTAGGACTTGCTTGACTACCCGTTGTGAATGACTGTCCGTGGTTGCCAAACCGCGAAATCCACTACAATGGGTAGCATTGTGATACGCGGCTTTGACAACCGCACCACCAAAAAGAACTTGTAGCTCTGGCCGTCAGAAGTGGTGTGGTCAAATTTGCGTTCTTCGATCCTGAGCGTCGTGTTCTGGCCGAAAACGCCTCCTGTCTGCCCACGCACGACAGAAGCCTGTTCCATGGGGTCTTCGCCTTGAATGAGATGGCGGAATGTGTTGTTTAGGAATGTCGTCTGGAGGAGCAACAAACAGTACCGATCAAACGGAAAGGTTCGGTGGCACGGGGGGAGTGGTCACAAAGGTTTGGTGGCAAGGGGGGAGTGGTCACTACCTGCTTTTTCGCACTGAATATTACCTACAGTCTTTCAGCAGTACATCGTCATTGAAGCGAAAAGAGCCGGGGGAAATATTTAAGCCCTATCTCCGCCGAGCCATCACCACACTTATCTCCCGATAGGTTGTTGCGAGACACTTATTCCGCAGTTTCGTGCAAGAGGGAAAAACAAAAACTTGGTGCTCCATTCTGTGCAGTCATGTGCGTACATGCAGTGTAGGTACTTGCCACATAAAAAGGAAGCAAGAGAGTTGTTGTTAACGTAGACTCACCCTCGGGGCACCCTCGAGCCAATTCTCCATTCCATACTGTAGAAATCGCATCACACCTTTAACATCATTCCTTCTCACGAAGTTGGAGCGGGACTCCATATTTCGGATCTGGAGTACTCCGAGGCTACTCGTGGTCGTACCGCATATGGACATGCTGTGTATCACAGGTGGAGGTCGACTCCCCTTCCCCAATGTGCCGGATGCCCGCGCCCCCTTGTGGAGACTTTGGCAAGGTCGGACACCTTGGTGAACCCAACCAAGGTCTCGAAAAATACTCTCCCCTTTCGAGGCCTTGGTTGGGTTCACCAAGGTGTCCGACCTTGCCTG